ATTACTGGGTTGTCAACATTAAATTTTTACTACTTAAATTACAACATATCATTTTAGTATTATCAGTATTATTACCGGGTTGTCAACATTAAATTTTTACTACTTAAATTACAACAATTAATAATACTTACATACAATCCTACCTGAATTTATGCAGATAAAAAAATCGTTGAAAAATTGACTAGGAAAGATAATAAAAAAGAAGAAATAAAAAAAAATAACTCACCGTGTTTCTCCCCGTGCGTGCACGGGGAGAATTGTACAATTTCCCCGTTCGCAGACGGGGAAATTGGATTTCCCCGTGCGCGGACGGGGAAACCGGATTTCCCCGTTCGCGCACGGGGAACTTGGGAACTGGTTTTCTCTCGTTCATTAGTCAATGAAAAACACAGAAAATCAGATCTATTTCAAACCCTATTTCAGTTCTCTCTCTCGAAGCCATTGATTTTTCCTCCATTTCTCTTTCTTCTCCCGTACAATGAACAAACGAAATCAAAGCAAACCGTTGAACTCCCCGTCTGTCTCACCGTCGTTTCTCCTTTTGCATTCGTTTCTCACGATTGTTCACAAACTGGCCTAGATTTCTCCACCAAAGAAGCGAACCTAGAAGAGGAATTGCAAGAACCTGGATTCTCCGGCCATAATTGCTGGTTTTTTCGACAATTTGGACCGGCGCTACTTCATTACCCTCAAATCGTGAGGTGTGTCGATTCGAGATGTGCTTTAATTTAGGGTTCTTTTTCACCAATTTTACTGCTTTATCCTCTGCTGTTTCTGGTTTCTTTCTTCTTATGAAGTTGGGTCTGCGAGTCTGCGATCTGGGTGTTCACAATTTTTGGGATTTTTCGTAGGGGAAGTTTGTTTTCCGTAATGTTCACACCGCTTCTACAATGGAAACCGAATTGGTGATTGTCTCGCGACGGATGCAGGCATCAGCTGCTGGAACCTTCAGACTCCAATTGGTATGTGTGTTTGTGTGCGAATTTGATTATATTATGTTGTTTATGTGTGGTCAAATTTGAGTTACATTAATTTCCTTTTTGTGCATTGTGAAGAGATGCCTTTAGAAGAGTAGGGAAGAGAAAAAATTGATGTTCTTAAGCAAAGGGGTACTTGAAGTTTTTCCTATGCTGTAAGATTATTTTTATGTTTTGTTAGCTTCAATCAAATTTTAAATTTATGTGCTACC